CCTCTCAGAATTAGGTGGGCTTAGAGAGACACTGCGTAGTCCTCTCGGACCCTAGCCTATAATGACAAATCGTGGTGATAGCCAAACAATACGGCTACCCTCTGAAATATCATTTGGTTGAGTTAAAAATTCGCAAATTTGAGGCCCGGCTCAGATTTTGACAAAATGGGGGTTCGAGGTCTTACAAGGAGCCAAAAATGACTAAGATGGAAAGATGTTATCCGTTTTTTTCTGAATACGACTGTGAGATTCTATCTATGTCATTCATACCAGATTTCGAAGCATATGCATCATGCATGCCGGTAAGCCAAAGTACGATTTGATGCGCTGAATGCGATGCAGCTTGAGTTTTTACGTTGCATGAAATACGTTCAGAATATTCTTTGTGATACACGTGTTTTGAAATTTTTTAAAGCACACTTTTTGATCAGTATGCATTGACGAAAGCTGCGGCTTTTTCGTTCATCGCCACAAAAAGACTTAGTTGTTACACCTTCAAATATTGTTGCCTGAGTCGAGAAAAGATCTGTACGTGCAGCGAAACGGGTTTTATTCGGGTAAATGCTTGACTGTGTGGCGTTCTCCAGCCCGACGACCAAGACATATAGACTAATATTGGCTTCACGGAGAGGTAGCCCTTGACACGTTCCAGGCCGTGGTGAATTCTAATCATCTGTTGATTTCTATGTTTGGTCAAAATTGCGCTTTACTTTGACACCAAAAATTTCCAATAAAACTAATGTAAATGTAGAGGTAAATGGACATGTTCAACTCAATGATTTATAAGGTCAGATTTTGTCACGTGAATTGCCAGCATACACCCCCCCCCCCCCCCCCCTGTTGAGTTTTGAGGACCGTTGACCGGCACATGGGTTTGAGGACCGTTGACCGGCACATGGGTTTGAGGGCCGTTGACCGGCACATGGGTTCGTCATCGGGGCTGGCTGCTCGGTGTTGCTGGCCTCTGGCTGAAATATGGCCCCGTGTTTTCCCAGGGGTCTGTAACCGGTTTAAAGAGGCACTGCTTTTGACATCCGAAGTCACCTTTTGCCTTTGCTCCTTGTCTCAGCCCTTTGAACCCTTCAGCCTTCCGATCCGGCATTTGATCGTCGATCTCGAAGGGTCTTTAGGGCTCATATTTGGGCCCCTTCGAACACTACCCAGGTCGACTTGGACCCCTTGCCAGCAAGGACCCCTGTCAGGTTCGTGCCTCAACTCGTGGTCAACCCGAGGACTCCCATTGGCCCGTGGGCCCAACAAATGGCCCAGACTGACATAAGGGGACTCAGTTATGATTCAGGAGAGGGTTAAAAGCACTTAATGTCCCATGAATGCCACATGAAATGTTAGTGCAGTAAGTGCAGCACTGACGGTGGTCAGGTATGTGTCCCCTCTTGTTCCCTCCCTGCTGTAGCGTGACGTTTCAGCGCCACTGGCAGGAGCCGGCTCGCACCACGTCTGTTCCATACTATGAACATCTGAACTACATAGTATTGCATCAGGAAAGTATGTCGATATTGAACCCGGCAAATGAGAAATAATATTATACCGGCAAACCACGAAAGCCACGCTTGACAAAACATTCGCGGCTTTCGAAAAAAATCATGTGAGTTGTTACGGTGTGGTGGGATTTCGGAAAGTGTGCTTTATGTTTGTCACACACTTAGCAGGTATTCAGGAGTACATGTCACCGGGGGGTGCGACCAAGGCTGTGGGTGACCCTGCACGAGGCTGACGAGGCCGAAGGGCACGAGGTGACGAAGCTGAAGCTCCCGGCTGCCCGTGCGGTGACCGGACCGGTCCGTGTCGCAGCGTACCCGTCTCTGAAGCCGCTCGGCTCATGGACGCGGGACCTGGTGCAGCGGGTCGAGCAGTTCGCCGGCTGGTCGGAGCGTGCTCGGCCGCCGCAGGCCTTTTGGCTGGCCGCCTTCAGCTTCCCGACCGGCTTCCTGACGGCTGTGCTGCAGACGGCTGCCCGTCACCTTCACCTCAGCGTCGACTCGCTCGCCTGGGACTTCCACGTGAACAATCAGAATGACTCCGTCAGTCCTCTGCAGCCCCATGTACGTCGGATGGACGACGGCATGGGTCTGGTGTGGGTGCGGTGGCCAAGGTGGCTAGGGACCGCTGGTCTCTAATCACCGGGCCCAGTGAGAGGACAGAACTTGCGAATATCTCTTAGCTCATGCCTCTCAGTAAACCTCTTATTTCTCATCTTTAAAGGGATGCCCCTATCAGGGTGGCATACTGTGCGTTTGAGCCGTGCTTTCGGCATTGCCGAAAGTGACTTGACTAGAAGTGACCAGTCCCCACTTCCGTTGCGTCTTAAGCCGTCATCGTCTCACCTCTGACCATGAAAAGCACTTGTTCGCGCTCACTTTTGTGGTATCTTCTCCAGGTTCCATGCCAGTTCAACGTGTGGCGGGTCGTCCTGCAGTCTTGTAGTGTGGTGTTTTTGGGACGTTTCTTCTCCGTGTATTCTTGCCGGATCAGGAAGGGCGTGTACATCTGCGGTATGTACAGTGGAAGGTGCCGGATGGGACATCACGGCCGCTCGCAGTGGAGGCTGCTCCTATGGCAGGCTCGTTGCCCACCCATGCCCGTCATCCACTTAAAGCCCATGGAGAACAAGAAAAAGAGCGGCAAAGGTATAGTCGGGGACTGTGGTCAGGACTCTGTGCATTGCTATGGTTTGTAGTACAATTTACATTTAGTTCTTGTTGCCCCAGATCTGGCTCCAGCTCAAGGTCGTTGCAGATGCTTTCAAACGTCTCAGGGCCTAAGATATGCCTTCGGAGGACCGATCCATAGTTTTCTTACACATCGATCCCTCGAGGACGACTGGATCTTAGAGCTCTCGCGCCTTCTGTACTATGTCGCCTTGCGTTGGGTAAGAGCGCGTCCGTTGAAACCGCAGCCTTCGCGCTACACACCACCGCTGACGGCCCCGCTGTCGCACTCGCAGGGTCTGTACGTGTGCCCCTCCTACTACTACCCCAAACCGGTCAGGCACCGGCAACTACCCATCGTTCGTGGTGGCTGTGGAGCTGCGCTGCGGCGAGTTCCCCCGGCCGACCACTGGATCCGCCGCCCGCCACCGCCCCTGCCATGCTCAGCCTCTCTGATTAGCTGCCAGAGCGGAGAAGGGCCCACCACCGGGCACTGCTGGATGCCGCCGGTCAACTGGATCCGCCGCGCCACCCGCCCTGCTGCTCAGCCTCTCTGATTAGCTGCCAGAGCGGAGGGGGGTCACCACCGGGGACTGCTGGCGCGCCGAGCGCCTCGGTGGCGATGGGAGGGGCAGCCGGGGAGCGATGGGGCGTACCCCAGGAACCGACGTTCTGCAGCCCGGTCAGGCCAGAGATTGGGACTAAATGCTCAGTCTGATCAGAAGGCTGGCCGACATGCTTGTCGCGAGGGTTGGAAGGATTGGGAGAACGCGTCGCGCTAGATAGCCTACGTTTCAAGATGTTTGAATGCCCTCTATTAGCTGCAGCGGATATACCCTCGTGCTTCACGACATTGCGTGGCGCTTCTGGTGCGACAGCAGCCTGTCCCACTAAACTATCCGTGAGTAACGCACGCTGGAAACTGCCGAGAGTACGAGTCTCCCAGAGTCCAGCGCGAATCATCGGACTGCTCGAAAGCATGTCAAAAGACAAGTGTTAGCTTTCTTGGAGAGCCGAGAGCAATAGTTATTACACAAACAGGCAAAGCGGGTGATATTTGTTCGTCGATGGATTTCGAGATGGTCAAGGTGAAATATCCGTACTGGCCTGAGGTCCGGATCCATTATCTCCGGTTTCACGCCACGTGTGCGCTGTAATGCAGTGCTTTGGTCCTTCCAACGGTGGGGCATCGCCTGGGGTCACCACATTGCTCCACCAGTACTTCATTCTGCGATGCTCTGCCTGCGTATGTACGAACGTAGGATTTGGGTCTCGCGGGACTTGTGATCTATTGACGAAAGTCAGGATCTGCGGACGAAGCGTATTGTTACCTGTGTTGCGCCCTGTGTAGGTGCAGCGTCATTGCGTCAGTTTTGTTCTAATTCAGTGACTAAAGAGATTCTTATTTCTGTGGAAATTTTGTTCGGTGTTTTTGCGAATACAGATTGGTAGGTCGACGTTTAACTGGTGTTTACCGTGGCGTGACTAACCACAATACGCCACACATTCAGTTTCACTTGTATGACACTGCTCCCTGTTTAGGCATGCTATACCGAGGAAATATCAGGCACTATGACACTTACAGCTCGACTGGCCACGATGGCACGCAGGTGGGGTTAAGCCAGACTCCTAAGTATGACCTGTTGGTTACAAAAGTGCTTCCAGGGACATTGGTATAACCAAATAGTTCTGAAACATTGCGTGGGCTCCATCGTCGCTCACCTAACACTACTGACTGGAGACAAGAGAAAACTGGTAAAATCGCTAAGCCCGCCCAAGGGAATACCTGAACTACTGATGTAAACAATAACGTCGGCAAATGCAAATAATTTCATTAGAACCTCGCCATTTCATTGGTCATGCAGCTTTCAAGTCAAGAAAAGTACAATCATAGAAACGCTCCTATCTGGCGTTGGTGGGCACGATTTCCGGATACAACGGCCGTCAATTGGCTCTCAACCAATGTTGTGCGAGCTATGCAAGTTTCGAACAATAATAGTTGAGTCGTTTCCATCTGGCGTACGTGAACACGATTTCCAGATATAATGGCCGCCAACTGGCTCTCGATCAGTGTTGTGCTGGCACGATGGCGCAATCAAATAATGACGTATTAGGAAGCACATTTACTAAGAAGAGAAACTACGTTGTCTAGAGCGTCTTTTCCACTCAGAAGTATGCCTAAACTTGTGAGTGGGCTTATTTTATGATATGTGGTGCATGCTTTAAGATTTCCAGATGTGAAATATTCCCTTTAAAGGAAGTGCGCCACATTTGAAGATCTTGAGGCAAGCACGAAATGTAATGCAATAAGCTCGCCTGTAACTATTGGTTTGCCTTTAGGGTGTTAAACACTTATCTACACAGCACAATTTCAGCGTTTAGTAAATGCCTCACTCAATACGGCATTTATCACGTCATGTGGCATCTTTATGGAATGAATGTCTGCCAGATGGGCCGTGTCAGAATTGCCGCTGTATCGGACGGGTTAACTCACTTATAGTACTTCGACTTGCCAAGCGGTGAATATGTCGCCTGAGCATCTTTGCGGAACCGAATATCGTCGGGGGCTCGTGTTTTTTTTATTTCTAGTGGAGTTTTTCAGTTTAATCTTTTTTTTGCCTTTTTATTGTTTACCAACATTCACCGGCTCGCGTGTGGCGCTATTCTTAGATTATCCGCTTCACAGTCCTCTGCCGGTCCACAACGCAAACCACTGTTCAATTTCCTGCATTACATTGCTCAAAACGTGAGTCGTGCTCTAAAACTGCTCTAAGCAAAACTGCATTACACCCGTTGATGACCAACTGAAGTCCTTTCATACCGTAAATCGTGCTGACCCACCTCCTACATGAATAGGTCGATGGCGATGCTTTGCGTGACCTTAAGCGCTACGTGGCTAATTAGGTGCCAGCATCCACGTGACGTGTATTTGGTGCCATGCATGCCTGGGTGCATGAAAATAATGTGCATTAGTTCGCTGGCGTCAATCTCAGAAACCAGAGAGTTCCAAGTCTTAACAAGGGCTGGGTTGTGAATCGTAACCGAGGTATCTTCAGAGGGCTGTCTTAGTTCAAAGGCCATCCGAATGTGGAACACTGTACGTAAAATATGCATTGTCTTGCGCCACAGCAAACGTCCTGAGAACGCACCACTTCTTGTGTTTCTACCCGATATCGTCACTCTTGGTGACGGGAGCTGCTCTTCAAGCCCTATAGGTCCAGGATTTTCCTTTCAAAATTAGCAGAACTTCACTCGTCTGTCGGCGTTGCACTTGCTGTTATACGCCGCTGATTTTCCATGTCAGACCCGGGATTGATTTCGAGGGTCAGCTTTTGCACTCGCTCAGTTTGTTTGGCTCGATGGGCGGTGAGCCCCGCATGAAAAACAGTATCGAAGTATTGATGCACTGGTAGAACAGATTTGGTGCTTACCTCGGCAGTTTTTCATAACATAGGGCATACATCGAGCCTCATGACTTTTTCAAGATGTCATCCACATGTGCCTGCCGTGACTCGCTGGATTACCATGAAAAGTTTTGCTCCGTTAACACGCGACAGGGTGGTCAGTTGGATGCACTTCGCTCGGGTGGGACCTCAATTTGACCCCCTGAGATTCAGGAATTAAGAGAGCTAGAGACACCAAGTTTACAGGGTGTGTTGGCCTGGATCTGAACTCCCTTAGGTCAAAGTTTCAGGTTCCTAGGTCATGACCTTCGGGCCAAACGACGTCAAACGGGTCAATCTCCAAGTTAGCCTCCAAAGTGACCCCAGAACCTAGATACCTGTTTTAAGGAAAAAGTCACATGCTCACTGGAGGTCAGTGACCTTGTTTGACCCAACGAAGGCCATGTTGACCAAAGTCATACCAGATTGTCTTGAGTTTTGCATTTGAATAAGCGGCAAAGCTTACGCTGAGCAATATGTTTCAAAAAATGTGGTTTTGACCTGGGTCATTTTAGGTCAATGACCTATTCTGACCTTTTAGAAGTCCATGAACAATTCATCATGCGCTTCCTGTTATCAATAAATTCAAAATGAGCACCTGAAGTACCTCATACAGGAAGCCCTAGAGTAATAAAACAGCTTGGTTTTAGCTTGGTCTGACCTTCAAAACTTACCTTAGGTCAGCGAAATTTGTGCATTCAAGTGTTATGTTGACTAAGAAGATCTACTCTGCTTTCGCATCAGATTGGACGGTTCCCTGGAAATTGACTTTGCGAACCACGACCCGCCTGACCTGCCGTAGGTCAGTGACCTTGCACGATACATATAGATTCTTAATACCAAAGGATCGGTCATTCAACTGTCCGCAGCTATTCAAAAGTTGGCGCAGCTACGCCGCGCCGTTTGGAGACCATTCTGGAAAAACTTTCGGGGGGTTCATATGGCCCGCACCCGAGCGCGTGTTTAAAACTGGGTAAGCTGATCTCATTCATCACGGTGCCCGAAAGGACCAGTATTTTCTTGGCAGTGAAGCAATGCACGGCCTGACACTCCTCAATATTAAGCACTATGTTATTTGCAGCTGCCCATTCAGGTATCTGGTCGGTTCTGCTTGTAACTGGCTACACTCCTCCACTCCGTCGCTTGAATACGCGTGGTCTGTTGTGGGATGGTTTACATATTTCAAACTTTGTTCTGTTCCAACAGAGGCACCGTTGGTTATCGCTAGGAAGGCAATGAGTATAATGAGAAAGCCCTGCGGGGTCCCGCAAGTTAAATGTATGCGCTGTGAGTATACTTGTGTGTCTGGTAATATATTGTGGTAGGTTCATGTTCAGTATTTGAAGTAAACATGCCTGCAGGTTCGTTGTCACGTCTAGATGCCTTGCATCGCGGCTCAGGAAGCCAATGTGTTCGCATGCTTCACTTTGAGGCAGTTTTGTCCTCAGCATTTCAACAACAACAATAAAATAGAAAAATATAGATGCTCCAACGTCCTTTTCTATCCGCCGTTGATGACACTCACTTCAGCTCTGGGGCGCGCAGTTAAAGCTGGACTGCCTGCCGGCCGTACTGCCTGCCGTCCCACCGGCCGGATTGCCCGCCGTCCCACCGGCCGGACTGCCCGCCGTCCCACCGGTCGGGCTGCCCACCGGTCGGACTGCCCACCGTCCCACCGGCTTGACTGCCCGCCGTCCCAACGGGCGGACTGCCGCCGTCCCACCGGCTTGACTGCCCGCCGTCCCACCAGCTTGACTGCCCGCCGTCCCACCGGCTTGACTGCCCGCCGTCCCACCGGCCGGACTGCCCGCCGTCTCACCGGCCGCTGCCCGCCGTCCCACCGGCCGGACTGCCCGCCGTCCCACCGGCCGGACAGCCCGCCGTCCCACCGGCCGGACTGCCCGCCGTCCTAACGGCCGGACTGCCGCCGTCCCAACGGCCGGACTGCCCGCCGTCCCACCGGTCGGACTGCCCACCATCCCACCGGCTTGACTGACCGCCGTCCCAATGGCCGGACTGCCGCCGTCCCAAAGGGCGGACTGCCGCCGTCCCACCGGCCGGACTGCCCGCCGTCCCACCGGCCGGACCGTTTATTCGCCCACTGTCCTTACCTCTCGCATGCACTTCCAAGCCGTCCATACATTACGAATAACGTGCGCGCACACACATACGTTGGCGGGGATATTTGTTTTGATTGAATACACTGAATCCAATAAAAACGATTAAATGACATACCCAGACCTATGTATTAACAATGTCCAGGGATATTCATTTCAGTGTATTAGTTGACCGGACTGCGATGAGTATGTGAGCACCGGTTCGGGCGATGCGCCGTTACAGTGACCAGATCGTGCGTGGGACGGACGGGGGAGGGGGGGGGGGGGGGTCGGTTTAGCGGTTGGGTCGAGGGTCTGGCAGGATCTCCGGCCGCGGCAGTTGCGAGCCCTCGGGAGCGTTGCCGCCGCGGGTAGCGTCCGAAGGTGGAGAGTAGCAAGTGACGGGCGGCGTCGGCCGTGTACAGAGCCTGCTGGCTGCTGCCCAGTTGCGGGTTCACCTCCACCAGGTCCATAGAGCGTAGTGTGCCCCACTTGCACACTTCCTCCATCACCATCTGGCCCTCACGAAGGCTGAGGCCGCCGCGCACTGCAACCCGGAAGACAGCATGGCGACGATTGATTTTGTCACTGCGGCTGAACACCACACATTTTGTCACTGCGGCTGAACACCACACATGTTGTCACTGCGGCTGAACACCACACATTTTGTCACTGCGACCGAACACCACACATTTTGTCACCGCGACTGAACACTACACATTTTGTCACTGCGACTGAACACCACACATTTTGTCACTGCGACTGAACACCACACATTTTGTCACTGCGCCCGAACACCACACATTTTGTCACTGCGGCTGAACATCACACATTTTGTCACTGCGACTGACACCACACATAATGCACGCCCACGGTTCAGTTGCGAGGGGTGAGCCAACATAGAGAATGACATTATGCGCCTAAGAATGTTCCAAGTGCTTCACATGAATAGCTCAGAACAAAAACAAAGCCAAACAAAACGGGTGCAATATCGTAGGCGCGAGTTAGCGGCCCATGCTCACTCGAAGTTCCACGAGTATGAAAGGTATAGTTGGTACCAAAGCTTTGAGGCTTGGTACCAGCACCACCAAAGTACTTGTTCAACACACCACTAAGGTCGACGTTTTCCAACTAATTTAAGCAGAAGGTAATGTATCACGGATGGGATTGTTGATTGTTGAATTGGTTGGATTTTTATTGAATTGATTGTTCTACCTCGGTCGTCCGGTTTATGCCTTATCTTTTGGAATTACTGGGATTTGAATCGGGATATTCTTCATTGCAAGTTCAGTGAGCTAGCCGGCAGAAAAATTATTTAGGTGCCTCGAATTTCATACCATTCCGCTTCCGGATGGTCGTTTGGTCCGACCATATTGATATTGGTCGTCATTGGTCGACCAATATCAATGGTCGTTTGGTCCGACCATATTGATATTGGTCGATATTGGTCGTGGCTCCATTGGTCGTCATACCATATTGAGTTGACGTGTATACTTGCCTTACCCATGGGGCTGTTGGTCAATGCCCACTGTGCTGCCTCCTTCACCTTTCTGACTTTCCAGTGCTGCTCTGTGTCAATGATGGCTACCTTATCACACGCTGGTCGGTGATCACCGTCTGACCATGTATGCTCCTCCAGCCTGACCGACAGAGGGTGATTTCTCTCCTTTGTAAGACCTGCCACAGCTGCACGGTATGCTGTATCTGCGGTTTTTCGTGCGTTTCTTAGATGTCAGCGGTCTGACTTTGGTAAGTCCACTCAGGAACGTTGAGCTAGCTCTGATGACTGCCCTGACGTATCTTCCACAGATTCTCCTGAACTTTTCTGACAAGCCCTTGTTTTATGCGAATTATACCGCCGCTGTTGTTTTCATTGGCAGCCCTGCCTGTCCAAGGCCGTGTTACAGAGGTAAAACCATCCGGTGATTTCACTTCATCTTCGCTTAACGTTAGCGCGTCACTGGTGCCGAGACTTCAATGCGCGGCGGGCCGCTAAGCGCTTGGCGTTATGCTGAAGGGCAGCTGGAACATCGAAATATGCGTTCAGTTAATGAAAAGGCCTTAAGCGGAAGGTGAATGTGATCATCCAGCCCATTACGGATAAATTTGCAACGAGCATGATTTGCTCTGCAAGCCTATGCGGCAAACCACTAAAACGTGACGGCCTGATGTGATGGCCATTTTGGTTGCTTTTTCCAATCTACCCACATGGGGTCAATACTAGATTTTCAGGAAGTTGTGTGCCCATCCTTCTCCCTAGTAATCGTGCGCCCCATCTTATGCTTATTCCCTTCCCACGCCGATCGAATTTCAACGGCTTGGCTGAATATCGGCTCGCAAAGCATATCATCATGCTTGTCATTTAAATCGACTTGAGTGGTTCGCGAATGTACGCGCCTACCAGTTATCATCTGCTTGTTATGGCTGAGAAGGTGGCCAGATGTTCAGGCCGCCTATCATCAGCGGTCCGGGCGGGCGCGTTTTCACTCGTAGTTAGCACTTCATCGTGCTCCCCATTTATCTATACGCCTTTGGCCCGTGTTTATATGCATCTTTCTCCGACAGGTTATTCCTTATCGGTACAAGGGCAGTCCGATATTCCGACTGCTCATGTCTACAGCAGCTGTTACGCAAGCCTTTTCAATTTCAACGCCGACGTCATGGTAATGGTTGGCCGCATAAGCTTGCAAGGCATATCAGCATATTTTACGTTAAATACTACACGATTGGCTTGCTGGACCTGCCGCAAACAATTCGATCAGTATGGATACGAAGAGAGCCCGGTGTTCTGGCCGTCCTACCTCGTATAGTTCTAGTGTGTATGTTTCAACTTCTCATGCCAATGCGTTTTACCTAACGGTTAGCGGCAAGCCATAGATTCGGCTTGTAAATCACATCGTCATACTCGTCATTAAATTAGACGTAGTCGACTCGCAGGTCATATCAATATCCCGCCAACAGTGTGTTCATTGTCTGCAGGATGATTTGTGATGTTCCCGCCGTTCCCCGGCGTTACGGCCGACGGCTAGCGGCCGCGCTGCATTGAAGTCTCGGCACCAGTGACGTCAACGCCTCATTCAAAGCCTGGGGAACACCCGACTTACGGTAAAGCCTATGCACGGCATTTCCCTGCTCCTCGTCGAGCATGCTATTTAAGCTTTTGGTCTATGGAATCTTACGTGTACTCCTTCCTGCGGCAAGTCTAGATTTGGTGGTTATTTCCCTTTCAACGTCATCGTTGTTGATAGCATTTGCGTGATGCTAAAAGCATCTCACGATGCTTTTATTGACCGTTCCCAGGTGGTGCGACTGGAAGTTCAGGTAGCGACCGGTTGTTGTTGGTTCCGGTACACTGATGTCCTGAACCTGTGGCTGGTTCTCTCGACTGGTACTTCTAGGAACGGCAGGCTGCTGTCTCCCGTTCCAAAGTGAACTGGATGGACGGTTGCAACATGTTCATGCGGTCCAGGAACTTCTGAATATTTGCTTGGTGTTGCCAGGACTTCATAGCACCGGAGAGAGCCAATTGGCCGAAACGTTGCGTAATTAACACACGAGCCGAGGGCTATAGTCCGAATAAGCATTCCATCCGTGATATTAATGCCTCATTTTAATCCTTCCTTAAAACAGAAGGTAACATGCTTATGCGGAGGCCAGCTGAGTGATCGGCCCAGGACTATGGCCCTGGCTGGGGCTCCTATCAGACCTGAAATTGGATACTGCTGACCTGGTGTGCCCGTGGATGGTGCTTCCGACGGATCCAGCGCGTCGATATCGAAGCTGACGTGGAGCGAAGAGTCTGCCCCCACGCCTACGCCAAGCTGATCCAGGGCCATCTCCACCACCTGGGGAGTATTATGGCATTCAGATGATGAGACTCTGCCGTCCTGGTGCGAATCTGCTCTAAACACGGTTTTGGGACAAAAGTTCGTATGGAAAAGTGCGTATGTATGAAGTCCGTGCGCAATCGTATGTAAGCAAATGTCCGGTTGGTATAAGGCTTGCATGGAAGAAATGCGTGCACAAAAGCTTCAACATAGCAATTGGCATGAAAATGCTTCTTATCAACACGATGGCGACGTGTGTCGTGGTGCACGCCTTTTATGGAGCGCTACCGACTGCGAAGGACGTATTAGCGCTTCCGGCCCTGGCGCCTGCGAGACCCGATTTACCCCAATTTGCGCGTGAACTTCACGTACTTACATCCCACATTTGCGTACGACCATTTCCGCAAGTACTTTTGTCTTGAAACTTTCACTCTCAGCGTGTGGAAATGGGCTAACAAGGCCTGCTTGGACTAACCTTATCGACTCCGAGCCGGTCCAGTTCGCGCATAGCATAGGCACGCACTCCCAGCTCCTGGATGGCCACCCGCTCCATAGGGTCAACGTCGCGCAGGCCGATGTAGACCAGCTTGCTGGGCAGCAGGACGGGCCGACACCAGCGCAGGTCGGGCAGGTCTAGGTGAAACGCCTCCATTCCGCGCAGCAGAAATGACACCGGTTTGCCGTGGAAGTTGCCAGAACCGGACGTCAGCGCTGAAGCAAAGCAGACCAAGTGCTGGTACTCCTGAGGTGGCAGAGGCTGGCAGAGCATGGTCACGGCCCCTGTAGTTGTATTGAAACAATAAATCCCCGGAATTTCCGTCGTATTTCCCGAGGTTAGACAGCACTGATACACTTGAATCGCATTCTTTAACAGCCGTGATCGCGCTAATAGTTCTTCTAGACATCGCTCTCATGATTTCGAAACCCGAGGGAAAATAACAGCACCTGTGGTGGCTGCCAACAAGCTGGCAGCTGTTCTGGAAGTCTCAATGTGTTATTTCCATAGATATTATATATACATATATATATATATATATAGATATATATATAGATAGATAGATAGATAGATATATATATATATATATATATATATATCTATAGATGTATATATATATATAGATAGATGTATATATATACATATATATCTATATATATATATATATATATATATATATATATATATATATAGATGGGCATTTCTCTAGACATGCCATTTTCGGCGCCGTTTCAAACATTCGGTAGGACCATTTGAGGTGCGCACGAGACGGAAGCGACCATTACGTGTGACAACTAATGGCGCCATCCGAGACAGACTAAAACCACGCGAAAGACCATGCATCCATAGCAATCTGCACCCTCTACGCATACTGCACATATGATGTGTTCATATAATATGTGCGGTATATTCATATATATATATATATATATATATATATATATATATACAATTCTCTTACTGCGCTCCGTTTCGTCCAACATTACTGCGGCACATGCCCAGTGGCGCGTGCTCCTCACGTGTGTTGATGTCCGCGTGCGCGTCCACCCAGAGGACAGCCAGCTTGTCGTGGCGCACGGTTCGGCCGTGGCCGTGCACGGTGCCCATGGCGATGCTGTGGTCTCCACCCAAGGTCACCACCACGTCATGCTTCGCCAGCGCGGACGACACGCGATCCGACAGCTGTAAACAGCGATACCTCTACAGCTGAGCAGCGACACAAGAACAAGTTATCACATCCTGTGCCACAACAGGGCAGGTGAATATAAAGGGGGTGCTTCGCTTTTGCACGGGGTTTTGAACTGAAATATCCAGCCTGGAGGGCACCCGGTGCAGTTCACAGCCGTGCACTTCTTAAGTCCTAAAACCCTCTAGTTTCCTAACTACACGTCCGTTAAGATGTGCAGCCTATTTCGTGCAGACCGCTTTAAGGCCATTCAGGCACGCATGGCGCCATAACAACGACATTCAAATCCTGGCAATCTATGCGGCGTTCAAGTGCAGGAAGCATACTTTCGTCGAGCCGTTCAGATTTGACGTCCGTGAGCACGATTTCCAAATACAGTCGATGCCGATTGGCTGTCAGTTGATGCTGAGCAAGCTGTGCATGCTTCAATCGTGAGTTAAGCTTAGTGCTGCATAATATATGAAGTTGGACATGGTTTGTTCACTTGCTAGCTATTACGAAAATGATACTTGTAATCGAATGATTCAAGAATAGCGACATAACCGGTACGTGTGTACAAGTAGCAACTTAAACTCAGGAACAAATATGCAAGAACACCAAGACAAACGGCCAAAATACGAGTGCATAACGGCATTTGGCTCGGCGGATACCTCTATTACCGCCACTGTTATCGCTAGGCAAATTTCGCACCGCTAGTTTGGCAGCATCTCAATGTCATAGAGACGTTTCATGACGCAATTTAGCAGTGACGCAATGAGGAGCGTATTTACTGAGAGGAATAATTTTGTTGTCTAGAAACAGTCTTTCGACTTAGCAGTCTGTTCATAGCTATAAGTGAGCTCATTTCATCATATTTGATGCTTGCTCTAACATCTGCAAATACGAAACTTTTTTCAAGTAACGCGTATGAACACCGGCACGTGTTTTCCACCATCAGGTTGCTGCTGTTTTGTTCCGACACCGACAGCAAAAAAGCGGTCGAAAATTTACCGGATCACTGGCATGCATGCCCGCATACGCATTTTTATGTACCAAGGTAGTGGTGTTTAAACATCATGCTGCCAACAAACTTTTGTAGCTTACGACATTCGTTCATCAGATGAAATAAGACATAACATGAAATGCTTTAAGGGCATGAACGTGCACAACCGTACGGAGAGGTCCGAGTTGAGAATGCAGAATGTGGCAAGATCTTCATAATGTCCGCAGTTCATGATGTCCACAAAATAGCTGTGCTTGCGTCCGTCAAGGTGCAAAATTTCGCCCTTATGCGAGAGAGGTGGCTCTAAGCGCGCTGATGACATTTCCTCCGTTTTTTAAAAAAAAAATGTAATTCAGCACCACCGCTGCGAATCAAACCGTCCGCAGCCTCCCGAAGCCCGACTCTGAGTAACCCGACCGGGAAGAGGCCGACTCTGAGTAAGAGGCGTGTCACAAGACTGACCGAAATAAACCCAACTTTGCACATGACAAACGAAAACCAACCCAGAAGGAATCAGCTCGACCTCGCATGAAATCAGCAGCCGTGCCCACGAGGAAGCAGTAGCGTGGCAGGCGTCGCAGGACGGAACTGGCGTGCATAAAGGGCATGGTGGTGCGGACACGAGCAGAGCATGTCGGCATGTAACCGCTCAATCATCAGGGGAGGTCTGACTTACGATAGCTGTGCCATGTGAACAGCGCGACTTGAGAAGGTATCGCTATGGGAACAGAGATATTCAACCTGCCTGATACAACAGGCAGTTGGAACAGTATGACTGTTGACAGTATGACTGTTGCGATGACTTTGAGGAGTACGGACGATTTCTTTGGGACTCGGCAATCTGACGATCCATTTGTTACGCCTACGCGCTTACGCGCTGGCCTGGAAACATGGACACGAAAACACACTTCCACCTTCCAACTCGTTTTTTATGAATAAGCGGAAAAATTGACGGCTACGATGCCAGCGAAACCTTTGGCGCATTCATTGTTATTACAATTATTACGCAATGTGAAATCAACACGTGGTATAAGCCTGAAAATTGTATTAATGACCAATTTTGAAATGATTTTTCATCTTGGTATTCTCGTTCTTCATTTATATAATCGTGTACACTAGGTATTTCTCGTGCTGCCACCGGGCATCACCTTCAGAGTCCCCTCCTAGCGAGAGGTAGCTTTGAACGGAGGCCTGGCACGTGACACAGCCGCCGGCGTGCGGTCGTCCGGTGCTGACCTCACCTGCTGGTTGAAGCGTCCCACGCTGGTGACGTTCCTCATCTTGGCCCGGTCGTCGGCGGCGGTGTACTCCGAGTCCACGCCGGGCAGAGACAGGTCGCCCAGGTCACGCACGCTGTGGCCGAGGGCGCGGATCTCGTCCAGCACCCCCGTGTCTCGAATGGCTGCCGGGCCCAGCGAGGCGCCGCAGCGGGTCTGCAGAACGACAGCAGCGCATGGTCACCCAGCCCGGGCCTCTCCTTTCATACTGGGACATTTTGCTACAATCCATTCGTTACAGTAGCATGATGATGATGATGATGATGATGATTTGGGGTTTTAGGGCACATCGACTGCTGAAGGTCATGCAGCGCCCATAACTATCGATTCATGCAGAGCCGTCAATCAGAGAAGTGCATCAATCAGGTCACCCTATAGAGCCAGGATGATCGGCCCTAGCATCATGACGAGAAGATTACAGGGAAATCTATAGCGCGAAGGAACTGGAGCACTTTACCAAACTCGACGATGTTCGAAGAATCCCCTAAAAAGTGTGCGTGCATAGCGTGTGCATAGCGTGCGACTCTGGACGTGGCGTCCGAAAAACTGCGCTCTCGTTGCAGTAAGGTGGCGGCAAGCGACCAGTACGTGATGCACGGTCAGTGGATCAGAGCATCGACCGCAGCATGGTCTGTCGCCAGCCAATAGCAGGTGACGGTGCGTAGCATGTGTGACCTATGCGTAACCGGCAAAGGGCAACTTCTTCCAACCTATTGTCCCGAAAGCACGACTGCCATAATCCAATGCGGGGTTTCACCGACTGCAGCTTGTTGGCGCTCAGCGAGTTCCAGTGGAACTGCCATCGCTGCTGCATAAACAGCGACACTGCGGGGTACATGTCTTGAGCAGGTAGTGGTGTTATAGGAATTCTAGTTCCTGTCGTAGCGCGCTTTGCTGCCGCGTCAGCAAGATCATTTCCGCATATCCCTACGTGACTTGGGATCCAGCATAGGCTACAATGACATTCTTACCGTCCAGACCCATACAAGAGAATTCCTAGCGTAAAGTTGTATCGCCGGATTCACCTATGCCGGCCATTTCGAACATGTTCGTGGCGTGACTTTGTAACGCGGGGAGCTTGTAACCATGTAACCATTAACATATTTTCTAGTTAAATCAATGTTAAACTAAATTATGATTGTCTTGCGTGATCCTTTTGCAAGAATTAGTACTGGATGCGACGTAATGAGCGCTTGTTTTGCGGCAAATGTCACAATGTTTGAGGTGTTTGCAGCAGTCTTGTGAGAGACTTCAACGCTTTATCACACATTTACATCACCCCATCGATTTCGCATGTCGTACATCCGCCACTGATCGGATGTGTTGGCGGGGAATGATACATATGTAGGGGCTGGCCAAGTGTGGATAGGGGCGGATTGCTAGCCATTTTGCTAGGCGCGGAGGCAAACTACTAGCCATTTTCATGACAGATTATGGTGCAAACTGTTCAAAACTTTGCAAAGAGGCTTCTATGGGCGATTTCCGTTGGGAAGAAAACTGCAGGAATTTGGAAACACATTTACAAAGATGCACATGTTCATAAAATTGTGCTTTGTAGGCAAGATCATGTTTGTACGGGAGTCATCAAGCCAGATCTAATCCTACAAAGTTTTCGAAGTTATCTGAAAGCATTCCGTGGCATGTCTGATGCAGACGCGATAAAACAGACGTCTGTATCCTGACTGCATCCTTGTCAATAGACATGCAGTACTGGCGACGCTTACATGCTTCAAGTTGATATAAAATGAATGGCCCTTGAATTAAGTGATCATCAGAGTCAGCCGTGCCCCACACGACACCCATGTAAACAAAGGCGGTGCGGTCAGCATCCAACGCCCTCGACCGATCCACATCGTTGTCAGGGCTGGTACTATGCTAGAATTGGGGTGGACTCAAGGCACAAACTGAAGAAATGTCTATTAAGAGTCTCGTTCCGTAAGGTAAAGTCATTCTGAGGTCAATAACGTAGTTCAGGAAGTGAATGCCAACAAAACTACAGTAAAGCAATCATTTCCTTGTCAATGTGTCATGCAGCCAACTTAAAGGAGTGTCCCGCCTATGTGGTGTGTTTCAAAAACATACTGCAGTGAAACCTCAGGACAAGTAACGTATGAAAAAAGCACCGAATAGTGCCACTGCAACACGGTCAAAACATAATAAGGATATTTATTTTAATTATTTCCAGTCCAAATTATGCTACCAACGCTTTGTAAAAGAACTACGCTTCTTCCCTGCAGTTGCGGCCACCGCCGTCATGAAAAACCTCCGTACACACCTCTGCTGGTACAAGTAAAAGAACGTTTGTGATCGGCCCAGCGGGCTAGGGCCTGTTACCGAGAAACGCGCGGGTCGAAGTTTGAACCAGTGCGTCACAAAGGTCATGTAATACTCCCTTTCTCAGAGCCAAAGTACGCATCGAAGAGAGCCATTGTGGTAAGCGTAGGAGAGAAATCAAAACCCTGTATAACATTCCGTTCAATTCGAGGGATAATAGCTTCATATCCGCATATATTTTTGCCTAAACAGTGTTTCAAGCTTTTGTAGCATTTACTGTGCAAACATTTTGGCACATTAGTGTGTTAAAAACATCACAGAACACACACGCTGAAAAACGAAGGCAAATAAAATGTACTACTTTGATAAGCGTGAGCATGGAACCAAAGGAGATTTTCCCGCAGGGTCGGCACATAAAATAAACATTCACAGCTATTCAAAAGGATTTAAACAAAACTGGTGTTACTGATCAAATCGTATGCATCTGATGTAACAGTAAGTGAAATGTACAAAAAGGCGGCATACTTCCTTAGAGAAAACCGCCGTTTAGTTTATCTAACGAGGAACAGAAGTGAAAAATAGGGTAGAGTTTGGTAAAGGGTCCCACTGGAATCCCACTTTCTTCCTCTTCCTTTGTAGCTGCAAAATGGCATTACAGTGTGAAGTATGTAGCTATGTAGTGCTTTAGCAGACTGCGGGTGTTTTCGCTGTTGCTGTACCATCCCAACCATTGATTTTGGGTAAATAGGGTTGTGCATAGGATGCCACTCCTGGTATATTTTATGTGCATTTCATCATAGATCAAGAATTAAGAGAGAAAATTCCAAAACTCATATTGCACTGAGCCCAATATTTGCTGCTTTGTCAGCATAGCGGCACAGCGGACTCATGCGGGCTAGATCCCTAGCTGGCCGAGACGGACCATGGCTGCGGGCTCAAATTTTGAAAATGTTGCATCTCTGATAGGAACACATTCACTGGAAAGACTCGTCCACTTCACATTGCGTGTTTGGAATATTTGGGCAGTAGATTTGGGCAGTAGATTTGGGCAGTAGATTTGGGCAGTAGATTTGGAGCTGTGGCCGTTGATTGGAGTTTTGGCAGGCACAAATGTTTCCTATGTTTAACGCATTACCGAGTACCTCCTGGTACATAGCAGATCGATCATATTCAGTGTGGGAACTCTTCACTGATAGTAACTCCTTGCTTGCATAGCGCAACAAATTGTACCCATAATTTTCCTGGCAAAAGAGTTATTAGCCACTCTGTATTGTACGTAATCACATTGAGAGTAAATAATCAGGACATAATCTCCACGCCAGAGTTTGAGTACTTTTTACTTGAATGGAGCTGGCTACTGTGGGCATTTCTAGTATGTCATCGTTTCAGTACGCATTATCATCGTTGTGATTAGCGCGAACAAGGAGGGTGGTGTGCCCAGTATTTGTTGACGTTGAAACGATGCTTCTTGGATGATTTGTTTACCGGCATCGGAACGTATAGCTACGAAACTGTTTTGGGGTGCCTAATACATTTAAAACTAGGAAAAAACGTTCCGTATCTCAAACGAGGTATCAATCATATCGATATCGTCATTGATAGGGGAGATGTCATCGTAGAAGTGTGGCGCACAGCGTGGTCGCGATGTGCCCGCATGACAGGGACTGCAATATTTACTTGTGGCATTGTTTCGCACATCAAGGTGGTATTTTCGATGTTGCGATGGTGGTTTAGATAGTGAGCGTATATGCGTATGCTTCCTCCTCTCCTGCATTGTCGCAACTGTGATTGTATTATTCCTACTTCTTTTGGTGTCAGTCGCATTGTTTCTTTTCTGAAGCTTTTCATTTCCTGGCCCCATTTCTATAATATCTCGGTAGTGAGCCAATGTACCTTATGTTAATTGGGACAAACGACGAAGTGCAATACAGGAATATGCTAGCTCGCACGCGTATCTATCGACGTCTGGCATGACCTGATGTTTTTTGTCTGCCCGGCATCAGAGGTGTCCTCCCCAGTTATTGCGCCAGGGAGGAAATTGATTAGGTCATTGTGGTCGTCACGAGCTAGGCCTGCCTCAGCCCTTACAAAATTTCACCGCAAACATGAATGTTCAACACTTGAAGATACTCAGGCAAACATCAGATATATTACATCGGCTCACTTGTAGCCATTAGTATGCTAACCTAACCTAGCCAAGATTCCTCAAAGGATTAAAAAGGTGTAGCAAAAGATTCCTCTTGCCAACATAAGATCACTTTCAAGTAAATAAGCTCCTCCATACGTCATCGTTTAATTGCGTCATAAAACGTTTGCATGGCGCCAGAGTCGCTGCCAAATGGCTGTGTCAGAATGGCCACTGCAGCAAACGGACTGACTCCCTTACAGTGCTCCAACCGTTTATTCAACTTTTTTATTTATTCAGTCTTTTTCTTACATTTGCATACTTGGTTCACATACTCGACGCTAGTCTTATGTTATTCGATTTGCAGTCTCATTTCCGTCATGTCTCGTACCACTGCCCAAATAAGCAGCAAACGTGACTTGTGTTCGAACATTCGCACACTTCATCTCCCTCTCGCTCTATCGTGCACCCTCGCGACGCCCTGCTTGGCCGAAGCAGGCTGCATGCGCCAGCCACAAGTGGACAGAAGCGCTTCCTCGTGCCCCCAAGGAACATCTTGAAAATGTGCCAATGTACTTTTTGGAACCGTCTTATAAATAGGGGTGATGGCGGTGCTAAGATATGTCTAAGTAGAACCCCTGAAGTGCCAACTTTGAAGGCCGAACTTGCAGTGTTCGACTACCTACTACTATTGGTACGCTAATATCGGTGCAAAAAACTACTCCAAACACAAAATTCTAGAGATAAGTAAATATGACCCATATTACGTCATCGTTTTATAACGTCATGGAACGTTTTATGGTGTCACGATCGCTGCCAAAGTTTCCGCGTCTGCGTTACCACTGTACGATCTCTGCCAAAGTTTCTGAGTCTGCGTTACCACTGTAAGATAGCTGCCAAAGTTTCTGAGTCTGCGTTACCACTGTAAGATAGCTGCCAAAGTTTCCGAGTCTGCGTTACCACTGTACGATCGCTGCCAAAGTTTCCTAGTCTGCGTCACCACTGTACGATCGCTGCCAAAGTTTCCTAGTCTGCGTTACCACTGTACGATCGTTACCAAAGTCTCCGCGTCTGCGTCACCACTGTGCGATCGCTGCCAAAGTCCCCGCGTCTGCATTACGACTATAGCGGACGACCACTCACCTGCACTGCCTTATTCACTTTACACGTGATTCTCTCGAAGTTATTATCGGGTAAGCATGATCAAGTGCCAGGTGCGGAGTATTCAAAAGTTCTACACTTTGCTGCCAGGATTATCTATGGCATGAAACGTAGCCAGCATATAACATCAACTCTGGAACTGGATGGGCTGGCCCCGGGTTGATGACTTGGGTGAAAGAGAGGGCCGTGCTGGAAGTATTCAAAGCGCTTAGATGCAAAGAGTCGTCCCAGACCGTCCAATTTCCATTCAAGCCACGTTCCTCTTTCAATAAGGGAGATGCATTCCTCCACGCCAATATCTTTCCACCTGCCCAGGTGCCGTTTGAAAGCCACCAGCGAGTCTTTCCTTATCGCGCCGGGACAACTTCGGCCCGCCTGCCTCCAACCATCACTATCTTTACATCTCCGACAGATTAAAAAATCGCACCTCAAAACGCAAATGTTAGATCATGCGTCTAGTTTTCTGCCCATGCTGGTGACCTGTGTAATTGCACGCCACATGTATGCACGTGTCTGATCTCTGCGATTCAATGCGGATCACATGTGTTTACAGTTTATTTCCATTCATCTTTGTGTGTGCACTGTAGGTTTGGTGTAATCTGTTGTCAGTTTAGATCATTTGTTGGATATATCGTTTTGGCTTCGTACCGTATTTCGTGGTATGGTATTTTCCGTATCGTATTTTGTCATATCATATTTGATCGCATTGTATTTTATAGTATCGTATGTTAGAGACTATTTCGTGATATTGCGTGTTATAGCATGCTTCGTATCATCACAATTCATTATCATTTTGCTTGTGTTGTGGCTCGCCGAAGGCCTGAAGCGCCACCTCATGGATGGATTTCAAGCGAACAAATGCAAATACTGGGGTTCCTATATGCGCCGCATGGTGGCGTTGTTGACTTGGGTGCAAATTCATCAAGCAAGTGTATGCACATGTGTTTCGGACTCTTCTCGTGGAGTTCATGCATACTTTACCGCAATAGCATCTTTTCCACTTACATTTTCTGCTATGGCGCTTCTCTCCGGTTATTCTATCATCAGTCCCATGCTCGTCATATATAACAGTCGCCCAACTAGCTGTGCTATTTATGGCAACACACGGTACGTGATCGGGGCATGCAATCAGCAGCGAAATCTGACAGCCTTCGATTACGTGATGGAATGTTTTTGTGACGAAAGCATCGCTGCCAGGGTTCCCGTGCCAGAGTTGCCGCTGAAGCGGGCGGCGTGACTCACTTGTGGTACTTCTACGCGCCCGCTTCCCTCCAGCCTTCAGTCGTGACACTTGGTGATGCATTCCCGCAAACATCAATGTTTCAGTGACCATACTTGTCTTGACCGTGAGCATAACACAGGTAATGAGGTGGGGTGCTCGTATGGCATGTCTATGATGCCACACATGTTTGGGTGACTTAGCCCATAGACGGCGCGTTGTAGGCAGCACACATTTACAAGCATCTAGCTCCGAAACAAGAGGACTCTAAGCCTTAAAAGGACATGGCTGTGAATTGCAGAGAAGGATCATACACACGGTTGTCTTAGTTCAGAACCACTTCCACATGTGGCAAGGCTCACTTAAATTAGGGTCTAAAAGCCAGTTGTAAGGTGGCCCGGACAGCTGTTGCGCAGTATTGAAGCCGCGGCGTAGGGCGCGCGCCACGACCGTGAGCCGCGTGGGAGGGCTGAGCGGTCTGGGAAAGGCGCTGCGTAATGTGTGGATGGCTTCCACGGTGGAGGTACATGCGTCGCCACATCGGGAGGTGGACCAGGGAAGGTGAGGCGAGTATCTAGAGCCAACTGCTGGGCTGTGGTATCACTTAGCCGACCTGGCGTCTGTTGGCAGCGCTAACCTGACCCTTGTCGAAGGCGGCTCCGATGACACCGATAGAGACGGAGCGGGCGGCGGGAGGCGGCTGGGACCGCCTCAAACACACGCCCAGGAGACCACTGCAGCGTATCATGGCGGCGCAGTGGGCGCCAGCCTCTGTCAGCACACTGCGCGAGACAGGGTCCGGCCGGACCGGCCGGCCGCCGGCCGCCTGCGGCACTGATGCACAGCCGATACACAGCCCGGCCCGGCCGAGGCGCCGCCGACAGAGGCGACGCCGGCGCCCGGACGGTGGGGCATCGCCGTAACATCGCGACCTGCTGCAGACGAGCCAAGTCCTACCTGGATGCTGATCTGCTCGGAGTCTGGTACGCCCTTCTACCTCGGCTTGGGGTCCTCCCCGTATAAGGTTGGGGCATGACTTTACGAAGGATTGGGAAGGAGGCCCGGGCGTAGGGGTCCATTCGTGTGGGCTGGGGGTTTCTTTCGTCTGGGTTTGAGGCGTCTCTGACTGGGTTTAGCGTCACTTATTTACTTGGGCGCCGGTCGTTTGGCGTAAAGCTACAGGGTCGTTATCAAACAGAATGGCGCCACATAATCCAGGTACTAAGCAGGCGACCCGAAGGCCTCCGTCGTTACGTCAGTTTGTGACGACAGACCAGGCACGTGGCCTAAATTTCCCCGGGGGAAGACACGCCTAAATCCTGAAAGCTTAGACCATAATCCTCCGAGGTTTGGACCAGCCTGCTATCCATTATCTAATGTACGCCCCATGGCCCGGGGCAGGGAAGGCTCCTTTGGCTCTGCCATTGGCTGCGTCCCTGCGGCCGGCGAACAGGTAGCACCGGGCGTCCCGGTGACCGGCCGCACTTGCTGCTTAGGCTAGTTCAAGGCCACGGATCGCGCCCAGACCGCGCTGCCATCCAGCGGTCATTGTGGACGTGCGGATAATCCTGTAAATAAAAAACGCCACTCGTAGAGAAAATCTGCTGCAAAGCTACCAAATAAGTGAAGGTCTCTTGCCGTGGCGCAAAGTCCGTGAATACCAAACGTAGACAATTGTCGTTGCAGGCGCGTAATTAACCCATATAATTCAGACATATAATGCATCAAAAGTTGTCAGTAAGAAGGAAAATAATGCAGCTTTGTTTAAGCACATCTACCGTCTAAAGGCAAGAAGGCCTAAGAGCCATTAGTTAACATAACACTTTAGCCTTCTTGCTTTTGGATAGCAGACAGGCTGCCAACACAGAACAAAATCGCGGCACAAATGCTAGAAAGGCAAAAATAAATATTTTTAGCATTGTAAATTCATGTGCAAGCGAAACATACTTTGAACATCTTGGCAAAAATGCTCATGAATAGGATAGCGTTTTATCCTATCATATGTTGCCACCATTTCCACCCTGTCCGTGAGCAGAGACATTTTAACATTCGCTTATACTTATCCGCCGCACATGTGAAGCGGTAATCTCTCACCACCACCACACCAACCAAACTCAGACTGTGAGCAGGAGTATTTTAATGTCAGCCGATGTTCGGCTGCTGCCTGTGCGCAGTCAGCAACAACTTGCACTAGTCATTAAGTACTGTTCGTCACACACAATGTAGGTTCAAATGTTCGTCCTTCCCATCCTTTGCCTCTCCATAGCCCAATCGACTATCCCATTCTTACATCGTGCATATTTTAACCACTACTTTGATGAATGGGACACACAAGTCCCAGTAAATAAAAAACACGTTTGCACTTGGAAGCAAACGACACATTCGTGTAGTTCAACAAAATAAAAACAAAGTCCGTAGCGTAGGTTAAACGAAGCACAAATTCTTCTGATTCAAATTGGCAATGTAACTACATCAGACATTGACGAAACAGTGAGATGTAGTGCTCCACGTCCTGGGACAATAGCTAGTAACCTTGCATGTGGAGCTCGCCAGCCTTCACCAAGGCTACGTGACTTCTGCCAGCACCCCAGCCTGTCAGCGTTACATACGTCCGAAACGCGGTTTTCTGCCCAGTGAGTTTCGGCCCCGGTTGCGGCCGCCGTGCCGCGCCAGCGTCCCTCACCGGCCCGTCGCGCACCGCGTAAACCCGGCTAGACTCTGGTCATTAGCAGGCCTGTGCTAGGACGGAGCCCTGAGACTCAGACTGTGCACTTACACTTCGTCTGTACTAAACCAGTCGCGGTTACAAGCCTGCGATGAAAAGAATATCCAATTTTTACAACTGACTGCTCGATGCAACAAGTACATTTTAAGTAAATGTCTTTGAAATCATGTCCCATTAGCGTTAGTGCGTTGATTTCCATGCTAGTGCTTTTCATGTCGTCTTACCGCACATTGAACAAGAACTTTAGCTTTTTAACGTTTTGCATTAATACGCCAACCAAATGACTCCCCGGTGTCAATTGGTCTGGGCTCACCGCAGGCTGGTATCAAGCGCAAGCGTCATCGTCTGCTATGGTTTCATCGCGAACTATATAGGGCAAGTTGTACACATTAATGATGTTTTTTGAAGATGTACTAGAATTAAATAATACTCTGTAGTGTATAATGCAACCTGCACGGATGTGCATCAACTGCGTAACTCTCAGCGTGTTACATCTCGCACCGATATGTTTACATTAACCAACGAGAACGACGAGCGTTTAAAGGAACTCGTGCTGTGATATAGCAGCTGCATCTCACGGCAGCAGACTCTCAATAATTCTAAGGAAAGACCTCATTCACCACATGTCATCTGTTCCGTCGGAACACAAACCATGCATAGAATCCGTGACGCGATTCACTGCTTCCTTTTACGACTATGCCCTCAGGGCCTCACCAATCATGTTACTTCAGATAGTTTTGTGATCGCAAGGCGATGATACCACGCTCTGTGATTGGATCAGCCGACCATCGCACGACGTCGTACTCGCTTCTCAGTTATTCATTATCACATAATTTCCATAAAATGTGACTAGGACTTGAACCGTTCGCTTCCATGCATGCTCGCGCGCTCTCTGGGCCTGAAGACGCAAGGTTGCTGTTGGTTGGGCACTTATACATTGTGATGTGAGTGCGAGTTACTGGAAAACAGAAGCCGCGGACTGACAAGATATCTTTCTCTGATTCGCGAGAAACACTGGCAGGAGCAAGATCATCACAAGTTTAGCTAGCACGCAAGCAGTAAGAAATCTGCTGCGGTGAGCTCAGACCCGCGTAACGAAGATCCGGTGCCCCCTGCTCCGGTGTCTGTGCCGGCCAGTGCTGAAGCCAGAATAGGGTCTGGTGGGGATACTGTTTGCGTTAGCGCGGGTGCTGGTATAAAGCGGTTAACACGAGTGTGGCGGGCTCCATCTCGTTGTCGATCTTCCTCCTAGCAGGCGGATTTGTGCGTTCTGATCATGTTATGGGATACGGCGTTTGCCCTCGTTTTACCTTCTAAGACCTGAAGGTTACAGCCTAGAGATCCGCAAGTCGGACACAAATGAATTTACGCAGATCCCTACATACGTTGTGAAATTGGTGTATTATTTTCCTCGGTTCTGCATCGCATGAGGGTCAAATTGACTCAAAAACTCCATCGGAAACGCGTTTGCATTCAACCGGCCACACGGGCACGTATAACGAAAACATATCGATGCCATGGGACGGCTACCCGCTTCAGCCTACCTCTCTTGACTAGTCGCCATTTCAGCTGACCGTTGAAAGACTACCACAAACACGATTTCGGAGGTCCAAACCAGCGTGTCTACTACACAGTGATCAGTGTACAACGCTCGACAGACTGAGCTGCAGAGACGGCTGGAGACATCCTTTCCAACCAGGATTTTTGAATGGTGCAGATGTCACAAAACTAAACCAATGTTCAAAACAGGTTCAAGAAACATGATTGAAAACAAACCGTACCGAAACTTCCGAAAAAGTCCACATGCATAAAGATACAATACAAATGCACGTGACGTTCTGGTCGCCTCATAGAACGTCACACTACCTAAGGCACACTGGACTGGGCGGATCCATCACATTTCACCAGCAATTCGCAGAGGAATCCACCGGCGTTGGCGCTTGTTCAGTGCTGCTCTTGGATACAAAACCACAATAAAGACCAAAACAAACGAGTGTTACTACAAGGGAAAATGATCAAAATCCTACAACAAAAAACGCGAAGGGTAAGCGGCGCAAAAGTAAGGTCACACCCACAAAAACAATATGAATGATACCAATACACGGAATAAAAACGCCGCCCAATGGCTACATGGCAATGCACACAATAGCACGAATTGATCTCACTGACAATGGACATGTCATTCAGGATAACCGTGCAACCGAAAAAAGACGTCTGCATCGATCATAACCAAATCGCGATAACCGTTAGTGCATCATCACACGGCTATGCAAACACGGATTACACCTTATAGGAGCAAGACCTGAGCCTGTGCCTTGCTGTAATGTCATCTAGCTGGAAAAAACGGCTTCAGTGGCCCACTTCCGACAAGCATGCATTATAGCGCTTATGCCTTTGCAACAACGTTTAGGGGATCAGGAAGTGCTCCACGACAAACGACATAGTTCCTTCAAATTACGACCTTACCAATTCAAGATGTTGCAAGCAACATGCTTGCTGGCTGTAAAGCTGTAGCAACCGTGGGCAGCATTTACCCACCAAATTTAGGTGGATAACAATTTGACATCGATTTACGAAAGAAATTGTCACCGGCGAAAAACGATGAACACGTAAAAAACGGTTGCGATTTCCACAAGGGTCGCTACGACACTATCATCACCGCTTGACGAGAGACAGAGCGTACAACCTATTTCCTGGCGTGGGTCCACGCATGCAACCAGCCACGTGCGCCCCTCAGGCCGCTCATGTAAGCAGGCGATACAGGGGGAAATCAAGCATGGTACAGAACAATGTAGCGTTTGCAAGACTTCAGGCGAGCTCAACGTTGCCTGGCCCAGAGCGACGCCAGTACAGCCAAGGAAAGCCAAAGAAAAGAGGCCAACGTTGGTTGCGAAAGTGTGTAACGGCACTACAAATTGTGAAAATTAAACAAAGTTGAGTGTTCCACATTTAAAGATACTGAAGCGAGCATCACATATCAAAAAAGCTTAGTTCTAAGTAATGATCTACTCTTAAGTGGCAAAACTACTCTAGACATCAACTCACGATTTTTTTGGCCTTGATCGTCGCATGGCCAATGGTATGCCATGATTTGAAATGACGTTGTTATGGAGTTATAGGTGCTTGAGTTACATTGTTATAGTCTGCACGAAATAGCCTGCACATTTCCCAGGCGCGTAGCTCAGAAAACTAGAAGGCTTTAGCCCTTGAAGAAGGGCCGGTGCTGTGAACTGCACCGAATGAGTCTCCAAAATGGCCATTTAAGTTTCAAAAGCCCACACAAATGTGGAACACTTCCTCCGGCTCACGCCCCTGATAGGAGGGCGATGGGGGCGATACGACCCGCATGATTTTCTGAGGTTACGTCTTCGTCATGTGCATCGCGCCCCCAATTTTCGGAAAGTCTCTGGGGCACCCACCGGGCTTCTTTTGACACAAAAAACGTCACCCTAGCACATCTGGTTTCTGAGGTGCCACGATTCTTTAAGAACACTGCACGGCGATCCACGGTCGGCGTCCGCACCCGGCGGCAACAGGCCATTCCGCGGAATGCGCGCGGTAGGCCTGCACTGGCTATTTAAACGGAACCCTGCATCGCAAGTGAATGTCAAAAATAAACCTGACCGCATGAAAATGTACGAAGGTATATACAGGGAGCACGTCTGTCTAAGTTTCGTGTCGTTGCGAGGCATGGTCTCGTACATATGGGCATGTTAACCTGAAGAGGTTCGACTTTCAAGGAAATTATACATTTGACCCGACCTAGCGGAGTCGGTTATTGCCCTAGCAACATTAAACTGACTAGCAATAGTGCGATCCCGCTGAGATCAATCAGCTGCTGTTTTTAGGCCAGGCTCTATCTCAGAAGTCTGGAAACGGCAGGAGAGGGCGCATCATCAGTTCCCCTTACCACTCCGTGTTTTGAACAACGGTTATCAAGTCGAGGGCATTAACAACACTTTTTGCAATTTCGAGCGCGAACGTACAACATAAGCGAATCTGACCAGCTGATCTCTGGTCGCTAACCGCAAGACAAAAGAACATTGCGAAGCATTAAGGTGTTTTTCATTTGCTCTGGTTCCAAAACGCACGAGCCCCGTTCCGTTACATTTTCATACTAAGTGCATAGCACCACACGTTCCCGTTCACTCTCTCGTCCCACGCCGCAAACGGCGTCTTGTAGCGATACCGGCAACCATCAAAAAGGAGCTGTTCGACAAGTCAAACAAAACACGCACGGACGAAAAGGATGTTCACTAAAATCGACGAACACGCATTGGGTGCTAAGAGCGTGACACCGGAGACTAGCGATGGCAAGCAAACGACAGTGGCCGGTGCGCCCATTGATGCTGGCGCTGCATGAGGCTCGGGGCAGATCAGTCTCGTTTCTTGTTCCACTTTTTCCTGCGCGGCAGCATCACTTTCATCAGCTCCTCTTCGTCGATCTCGCGCGTCTTCAAGTAGCGTGGAGCGCACGCTATCCATGCGAGCGTCACCGCTGAGGACAGCACAGTTGTCTTTTGGTGATGTGCACATGCTCGTGCCGACAAAACCACAAACCTATTCACAATATCATGAACCATATATACCATGAGCCCAACCTGCATAATTTATCATACCATAGTCGTCTCGTTCACTTCATTTTCATGCGTCGAATTTCGATTGAAATCTTTGACAAGGATTTCGGCCCCTGATATCAAGAAATCCTTCAGACGGATTTCTAGACCAGACCGATCTAGACCTAGATCGATTTCTTGACAATGAATTTCTGTAGATATGACGAAAGTCGACATTACAAGGATCAACATGATACCCATTTTCTTGGATTTGTTTGAATAACCTAAGGCATATTAAGACAACCTAGTTTTGACCTTTTAATCACCAGCGGAGGTCAAAATAGGTGACTTATGGAAAACAAACGTTGCGGGATTGTGAATAACTGAATTAGTTTGACTATGGGGTAAATTTTGTGGAAACACGAACTCAACGTTGAATTCAAATACGAATAAGATGCTAACTTGACGGACATTATCTTGCTTCTCGCCATATCTGTCGTCCCACCTTCAAAAATTTCATCTCAAGGTCAAAGATCAAGGTCACATAGGAGGGGCACTCTGAAACTTTTACGCTAAAAAAGCAACTGAAGCAAAGGCGAACAAGCAGGCGAAGGCACACATCACGAGCATTAGTACGACACGATTTAGTTGCATTTCTTAGAAAAAGGAATGCCATGGTACAGCGTTCTGCGTTGCCTTGACCTCTGGCATTTAACTTATTTTTCTCGGAGTAAAAAAGTGGACATCACGAGCATCACGATGGTACTGAGTTGTTAATTTGTCTGCCATACGACTAAATGCCAGGGTACAGTGTTTTCCGGGACCTCACATTTTGACCTCGAAGGTAGTTTTTCATGTGTGACGAAAACAGACATAATGAGGATCACTTCTGATCAGGACCCATTCTGTTGTATTTCTTCCGTCAACGAATAAATGCCAAAGCACCGCGTTTCTGTGACATTGACCTTTGATCTTGAGTTACGTTTTCTAGACGTGATGTAAGTGGACATGATGAGCATCGCTACGATACTTATGTTGTAGTTCTGTGGTAAACCAATGCATGCTAGGGAAACGCATTTGGTGTGACCTTGACTTTGACGTTGAAAGTCCTTAGGTGGAAAAGTGAATACTACTACCATTGCTATGTTACCCAAGTTGCTGTGCTTGCTTGGTAAATGAATAAATGCCTGGACACTCCTTTGTGATCTTGTGTGTGTGTGTGTCATTGGGGCTTTATGACGCACTCAGCTGCTGAGGCTATATGGCGTCGCCTGCCTCTCACCCTGGCAGGAAGGGCGGATACCGCGGGGAATCGAACCCAGTACCTCTGGTTTCCCAGACGCGCAGTGGGAAACCAGAGGTACGGGGTTCGATATTTTCGATATCGATATCCCCATGAGTAACATGAAGACTTTTTTCGTTGTATCTCTTGAATAGACAAAAAAAAGAGCAGTGTACCGTGTTTTATGTTACCTTGAACGCTCCTTTTTCTGTGTATGGCGAAAGTAAACATCCCGAGCATCAGTATGACCCTCCATTTGTCGTATTTCTTGGGTTGCGAACAATTACTACGGTACCGCGAATTACGACCTAAAAATTGGACCTTGAAATTTGTAGTTGGCAGATGTGACGATGGCGGACATCTTGAGCATTAAGATGACGACATTTGTTTTTGCATTTCTTTGGTACACAAATAAATGACAAGGTACCACGATTTGTGTGATCTTGACAGTTGACCTTGAAAGCTAGTCTTTGCGGCTGTTACAAAAGCAGACATTACGAGCATTATAATTATTCCCTCTGTCGCATCATTTTGGTAAACGAATAAATGCTGGGACACCACGTTTTTTGTGATAGTTTTACAAGTATGACGAAAGCGGACATCACGAGCAACGATATGACACCCTTTTGTTGCAGTTACTTCATAAGTGAAGAACTGTTCGGGTATGCAACATTGACCTTGAGAGTTTCTGCAGATTTGACGAAAGTCGGCATCATATGGGGCAAATGATACCCACTTTGCTGGATTTCCTAGATAAATGAAATTTATTAAATGAATAAATGAAACATGTGAATGAATGACACATGAACTTGAAATGCTTAGAAAAATGCCAGGTTAGCAAGGTTTTGATCTTTTGTCGACCTGTAGAGGTCAAACAAAGAGACGATGAAAAGAGGATTGCAGATTCGTGGATAACTCCGTGAATTTGACCATGTGAGAAATCTAATGGAAACCTGAACTAGACACTGAATTCAAATACAAATATGGCGCTAACTTGACGGACATGTATGTCGGGCGGCAGGCGACCTTGGCTTGTGTGTCAATGTGAACGGGCCGGGGCGGCGGCAGGGTACCGAAATAACAGGACTATGTGGAAATCAACGTACGCAGTGGGTTGCGAAAACCCTGGACGGACTGTTCGGTTTCTGGATCGAGTGTGACCTCGTAGAGACAGGTTATTGACCGTGATTCAACTCCTTAGCGGTGGAGCGATCATGAGGCCACGGTGAAGTGAAACGTTTAACATTGAATTGATCAATGATCGCCCGCCAAGTATGGGCCAGACGATTTCCGAGGCCAGTGACGGCAATAACGGAACGTTAACTTATTCTTGTCGTAATTTACGGAGTACTCGAACCTTAAAGGGGTGCCTCACTTTGACATGGGGTGTTAAGCTGAACAACCATGTTGAAGATAATTCGTGTAGTTCACCATTCTAAAGACCAAAACCTCCAGTTTCTGAGCTTCCCACCCACCCAGATGTGACGATTACTTCCTTGTCGACTATTTCAAGGTCGCCCAGGCATCCATGACGCCATAAAACGCCGCTAAAATAACGCTGTTCCATTGGTCATGCGGCGATCAAGGCCAATAAAATTACATTTGTACCTTTTCGCCGCGATGTCGGTGTTGATTCTGTGGTATAACACCTCTCACATTACTCGATTCAAAAACGCAGTACAACGGACATTACGGACAAGGTATTAACACATTTTTATCGAAACAAATCCTTATCATATCAAGAAATATTACATTAGCAGTACTAACGTCATTTTCCTTACTCCCGTCAAGTATTTAAACGCGATATGATTCCTATTAGCAAATGGCACCATCGCTTTACCTGATATAATGATCGGAAACAAAGTTGTGAATCCACAGTATGCTGTTTTGTAGTAAAAGGTTTCCAAACCCAAGTAGATGATCGTCACCATCAACGTGCAAATGGCGGCGCTGATCAACCTGAAACGAGACCAGAACACAAACTTAGCTGACATACTTTATCCCAAAACAGAACTGCGCCACAAAGCATAGGCCCATGTACACTCAGTCATACAGGTATGACGTTACTTCAAAGCAAATCACAGCACAGGTACAGAGGTCTTCAAAGCATCGCACAAATCCCTTGGTAAAACACCGTCGACCTAAAACGTCTGTCAGCTCCACAATCGTCCCTAATATTCACTTTCGAACAGGGGTCACGTTCAATCTCGCTCAAACGTCTGGCACTAAAAGTGTTCAACATGATGAGAATCGTGGTGTGCGTTGATCCCACTTTCACCCACTTTACGAACTGCAGCTTGCAGAGCGTCGTCTAACTCCCAGGACACAGAAAACCGGAACCTCAAGATGTTGCTCAAACATGTGATAATTGCTGTTCAACATGGTGATTACGATGGTGTCGCCGTTTTCCCTCACGCAAAACCTTACCACAGGTCTATCCAGATCTTTCAAGGTCAATGAAGAGCTGCTTGGTCCCCATGACCTTGCTTAAAGTCATGTCTCTCGTAAAGCTGCTCAGTTTGATCACGCAGATGGTTTTTGGCCGACTTCAAAAGTTCTGGCCGCATGCCAACGTGGTTGGGTTATGCGTCACATTCGGTTGTTGGGACTATATGGCGTGGCCCCTCTCTCATTCTGGCACGAGGGGCGGGCGGTGCGGGGAACCGAACCCGTACCAATGGTCTCCCATACGTGCGGCTCAGCCCCTACACTAAGTCAAACATTGCCGGTACTCCGCATGGCAGTAAGGCCAAACAAGGTGTAACATTCTATTTCTATGACAAACATGGCAAATGGCGGGCAAACATTCTATGTGTGCCTGCGCAGGTGCATGTTTACATTTGTCGATGGCCCAGAGCCCTACGATTTGGCCCAAATCTAGATCAGTAGTAGTGCAGGACGTGGTGATGATGATTGAGCATGTCGTTTCGGGTCATACCGAAACCGTAGCGGAACTTAGAACACGATTAGTGCAGTGCTTGAGCCCGTTTCATCACATGAATATTATCCAACCAGCGTATGGAATACTTTTCCATTCAAATAACTGCAATATCTTTCTGCCCTACCACTGGCATCACTGTGCCTTCGCGCAAGAGATATATTCACGGTAAGTTATTCCACACGTTAACAGTGGAAACCATCGTCTTCAACAACACCACGGCATTGATTTACTTTGAAAGCAAATTCCAAAAGTAGGATATTGTCGGAGACAAAAATCACCAGCACCATCCAATGCGCCAGTCATTTTTACGGATTGAACAGAACATGCGCTGCAAGATTGAACGTAACGTTTAAAAACTGGACTAAGAGCACATTTAAAACGTGACCTGGCCTATCATGGCTCGCTTGTTAATTGGCAAATGTGGCGGGGAGACCTGGCTCATTTGAAACATCGTTTGTCTCACTATCGTTAGGTGTGTGGTTCGAGCCTAACTTCAGAAACTGAGCAGCAGGATCAGTAGATTTGGTCGCAAGCATCGCCTCACTTGTCTAGTTATCTCAGAAACCATCCCAAAGTAGCGCCACTCTGTCTAAAACCCCGTTGTCGCATCCGCATGAAAGGTTCTCTAAACTTGCCTTTGTCAACAACCATGGCCTGAATTTGCTGCGCTACATATCGCAACCTTGTTCGGTATGGAAGATCTTTCCTAAGATCGTCCATACCGAATATCAACCGCATATGGAACAAATTATCGCACGACTCCGCGCAACGATATCACAGTGAGTTCAAAAGAGTTGTAGCACATCTAATTGGCACAGACGTTTCTCCTCTATACTTCTCATAACGCTCAAAATTCGGAAATATTCGCCGCACATAAAGAGGACGAACAATTTTCCATTCAACGCACGTCTTAACGGCACAGAAATATGATTACTGTATCTGCGGGTACTGATCCGAAACGTTTAATGCTTTGTCTCTATTTTGCCCCAACCCTTTCAAGCCCCACTCTTTAACTTTTCAAACCTTATACACAATTTACTTCAGCACTTCCCGTAAAATAAAGCACAAATTTCAATCGTCTTTCAGACTGAAACCCATGCATGCATTAATGTCTAGGACAACCACCTACAGTGATGATGGTGAAACGTGGAGGATTAGATTCTGTGTAGCAGCATGTGTGATTGCATCGTTTGCCTAACTGCACCCAACTCTCAGCGATTTGGGCTGCCTGTGCGCTGCAATAACGAGATCTGGCCGATTGCAGCCAGGAAAATGGTGTCCATCGATCGGAACAGCCCGCGCTGCAATGAGAACGAGATCTGGCCGATCGTAGCCATGAAAATGGTGTCCATCGATCGGGGCAGCCCGCGCTGCAATAACAACGAGATCTGGCCGATCGCAGCCATGAAAATGGTGTCCATCGATTGGAACAGCCGTCAGATCCTAACTTCTTTGGACAATTTTGGCCGCTACTTCGGCTGGAGCTGAAGACCACCAGCAAGCCAATACAGGGACATCGCTTTCAACGAGTCTCATCAATTCGTAGAAGCCAATTCCTGCAGGCAGTCAGGAGACTTATATACATTTTCAAAATGGGTAACAATGATGCCATGAGAATACTACCTTTGTCTACTGTGGTCAGTTATTGTGGATTGGGTCAGAAAGTGATCTCCGAGGATGCAACCATACCTGCCGCTTGAGAACTAAATGCGCTTTAATTGAAAACACCGGATATAAGTTGCATCTGGTATTATACTAATAATAAATTTGGCCACATTAACATTAAGTGTAATGTTATTAACGGAAGATTAACAGATATATTAATGACAAACTCCGACAAAACAGCCAACTATTTTATTTTGCCATTAAGGTGCGTCACAAATTTCAGGTACAAGTGGAGACTTCAGATACAAAAGGCGTAGTACGATGCTGAGCGAAAATTCTTAGCAATCCTGCCAGGCTGAATAAAGGTTACACCACTGTCATAAAAAAACGCAAAAATATAGAAAGATGATAGTCACCAGCGACCTTGCAAGGTTACAAAACCTCCAGAGATTGACATCGTTTCAAAATGTTCCAGAACATTGCGCAAATAAACCCTCTGCGTTGCAAGAATTTAGGAATGTTTCAGTATCATACCGTCATTGAATAGGACACTGGAGGGGCTCGGGAAACGCTCCCATTGCTCTCACAATGTTTAAAATGTTCCAGAGACGCCTTTCCATCAGTGTTTCAGAATTATATAAACTTCTGCAAACAACGCGGGAACCCCGACACAAACCGGTACAATGGCCACATGCTTACGACGTGCTCCAAGTTCGCTGACATGAAGGTTTGAGACCGCGGCGTGAGGCGGTGGGGTGACGTCGGTGGCAGCTGGTGCTTGATGCTTGAACCCCTCGACGCTTACTTTCGGCGGCTGCCTTCTGTCCTATTAGTATTTCTGGAGAGATGCCCTGATTTCAGTTCAGCGACTTATACACCGATCACGTTTGATACGTTTAAACTTATCCTCAGTGATACTTGGAACTCAGATAAAGAAACAGACAACTCTCTCCTTACACCTCTCCTTAACTCCTTTACACCTCTCAGGAGCACGTGGTCCCGTACTGACGATGTCCAACTTTTCCTTTTGAGTAAGGATTCCTTGCTCAGGCCATTGCCATCATGGGGCAGGTTTTCGAGTCCTTAGATGTTCGGTTCCACTCCTCACGTTCAAACGTAACAATAAAAACAACTCACTTTCGCTCCCGCCAAAAGTGTCGTGATAGGCCCTGATTTCCATTCGGTTGCGTGGGGACGCAGTGCGTGAGAGCCCGACCAAAAGAGATCTTGGCTTGCTGCTCTGCCAGTACCTCGCCCGAGACTCTAGCTCCCCCTCCCCCCCCCCCAAGGTGCGCATTTTGTGTATTTTAGTATCATAGTGACTTCTGACAAAGTCGAGTCCTGGTGTCCGCTTGAGGTCACACTTTTCAATGTGACGAGGAAAGTCATGCACCACCGTAACCCACATGATGTCGAAAACCCCTCGTGGCATGTTTGAAAAACGGGGGCGGTCTGCAATCCACGGCCCATAAATTTTGTGATCTCTGAAAGCTTTGTTCCAGTTTGTGATCAGCATGCTGATTTCGTGCTTCTAGTGATGCAAGTCTGGGCACGATCGTAGGGCCCCTGGTGGATGTCATTAACTTGCGATGATCTCTAATGGTCCGTTTTCATCCTGACAGAAAACGACGTGGTCGAATGCTTCCAACAAGCCTGAGCAGAATAATCGGGGTCGATGCCATTACATTTTGATGATTCTCCATTAAAAACCTTTCCGGGTGACAGAAATTAAGCGCACAGTCATAAGTGCACATTCATAGCTCTACTTGTAGCACCAGTTTGAGTAAAACAATAGGTGTCCGGATTCAGTGGACTCGTACTTGGCCGGAAACAGCGGCCTTTGTAAGTCAGTTGTCAATCCGAAGGGAAACGATATGCGTCGTAATGGTCAGGCCGCCGCTTACCGCTGGTGGCCCAGATTCGGACAAAGTCGTAATGGCCAGCTCGCCGTTTACCGCTGGTGGCCCAGACTCGGACAAAATCGTAATGGCCAGCTCGCCATTTACCGCTGGTGGCCCAGATTCGGACAAAGTCATAGAAGTCCGGCTTGCCATATCACTTTCCATTTAATTAACGTGACTTATCAGGATGAATGATGGCTTTAAGACGGCAGAACTCCATCTCCGCAATCAAAATGGGCATGTGCGTTGTTCAACACCACCAGAGATATGACTGACGGAAAAAATACGATAGTTTCCAATGGTGACCTGTGTGCGTCAGTTTTCATGTCACGAGAAACGGCACTCGCAGTCGTTATGAACATGTCAATGACTTCTGATGACACCTTTAAGCATCATCACAAAGGTCCGGGTCAGTAACCTTAACCGTTGATGACATCTTCAGTTCAGAGACTGTAACAAAACGTGAAATGACAGCCACCTTCATAATCAACACATAACGCGACTAG